GAGAGAAGTTAGCAAATTTTTTTTACACACAGAAGATCAGGGGTTTTAAAAAAAAACAGTACATCTGGCTCTCAGAGATAGTAGGAACTGCAGATGCTGGAGAATCTGAGATAACAAGGAGTAGAGCTGGATGAACACAGCAGGCCAAGCCTTCCTGCTCCTATGATGCTGCTTGACCTGCTGTGTTCATCCAGCTCTACACCTTGTTATCTGGCTCTCAGTATCTTGTGAGAGTGACATATCATCAACAATATCCAAATGGATGAGAAGTCGGTACATCATGACCAGAATATTTGCTCCTGACTCAGGTAGTGGGAAATAGGAAATCCTAGTTCACAGAAGTCATTCTTGCTCGAGAAAGGTGGTGGGAGTGGATAGATGATGATGCATGGTAGAGATGGGGCTGCTGCTCCAGCACACAGTTCAGAGTCAACCACAGCTGTTGCAAAATTTCAACACAGGCTGTTTAAAAGGCCTGCCTCTAATGTCTGGTACTTTTTCCAATTTTTTTCTAATATTCGTCCCACTAGTTCACTAGGTTCATGCCTTACTGCTGCTTACTGCCCCACTGACTACCCATTCTCTACCCATTCCAACACAAGCGATTCCATGCATTGCCACCTAAACACAAGGCCTCCTTTTGTTCTCGCAAGCATGGACTTAAACAGAGTCCAATAGCCATTTATAATCTATGCCAACCTGACATTAGATTAGATGGGTTGCTGTTAATATCCTCACACTTGCACTCACCATTTCAATTTACCCAGCTTCTGCAATAGGCAGAGCCCTTGAATCATGTTGAGCTGAAACAAATGAAGCTGTAAGAATCTATCACAGCCTTTACTTTATGAGAGAAAAAAATCTTCCATCCACGAAAGCCCATCCAAACAAATTGGACCTGAACAATATTCTAGTTTAGCCTGATAAGTGGCAAGTAACATTCACATCACACAAATTCTTACTAATGATACATCCCACAAAAGAGAATCTAACCATTGATACTTCGCTTGCAACTACTGCTGAACAACCCCCACAATCAACATCCTGGGTATCACCGTTAACCAGAAATATAGTAAATATAGCACATCTATATAGTGGCTGCTAGAGTCTAGGAATTTGCAGGAGGTAACTCCTTTCTGACTTCTCAAAGCCTGGTCATTGTCTACAAGGTACAGGTGTAATGTGTGTTGTGGAATACTCCGCACTTGTCTGAGTGAGTCTGGTTGCAACAATACTCAAGCATCCTGAAATCATCCAGAACAAAGCTGCCTGCTTGACTGACACACAATTACCATCTTCACCATTCATTCCACCTACCACTGCCACAGAGTGACAAACAGTGTGCACCAACTGCAAGATGCATTGGAGCAACTCACCAAGGCTTTTTTGACAGTACTTTCTGAAACAATCTCTTCTCTGACCTCGAAGATCGAGAGCAACGACACTGTCAATGTACCTCCATCATATAATTGACACAGTTCATTTAAGACATCTTGCCCCTGCTCCCCTCCCCCCAACCTTTGCAAAGTTAATTGGGGGTGGATAGCAAATGCTTACCAAACTGAAAATATAGCATGCGTTAGAATGTTTGCATTTGCAATGACAAAATAAGAGAACTGTTGTGGCATCACCAAACCACTATAGTAACTACTGTAACATATATTTTTTTAAACTCACTGTTGCAAGCAGTGAATCTTTTGGCCACCATCATCCCAGTAGCTAAGAAAACACGTACAACGTGCCTTAATGACTTACGCCCCGTGGCTTTGACCTCCATAATCATGAAGTGCTTTGAGAGGCCGGCCATGGCCAACATCAACTCTCGTCTTCCAGCCTGCCTCGATTCCTTGTAATTTGCCTACGGACGTGACAGGCCCACAGTGGATGTCATTTCCCTAGTCCTGCACTCATCCCTGGAACATCTCATCAACAAGGACACCTACATCAGACTCCTGCTCATTGACTACAGCTCCACCTTCAACATCATTATCCCCTCCAGACTGATCTCAAAACTCCGACACCCAGGTCTCGACCCCACCCTCTGCAATTGGATCCTCAGTTTCCTGACCAATAGACTACAATCACTGAAGATAGACAACTGTACTTCCTCCATGACAACACTCAACACTGGAGCCTCACCGGGATGCGTTTTCAGCCCACTGAAACACCCACAACTACGTTGCCAAATTCCAAACAAACACCATCTACATTTCCTCAGGAAGGAGATAGAGAGCTTGGTGATGTGATACATTGATAACAATCTCTCTTTCAATGTTGGCACAACTAAAGAATTGATTATTGACTTCAGAAAGAAAAGGCGAGAACATCCTCATCTACATTACTGGAGCGGAGGTTGAGAGCGTCAAGTTCCTAACCGACAAACTGTCCTGAACTTCCCATGTAGATGTGGTGGTCAAAAAAGCATAACAATGCCTCTTCTTCCTCAGGCAGCTCAGGAAATTTGGCATATCCGTAAGGACCCTCAACAACTTTTACAGGGGTGGCATGGTGGCTCACTGGTTAGCACTGCTGCCTCACAGTGTCAGGGACCCGAGTTCGATTCCACCCTCGGGCGACTGTCTGTGTGGAGTTTGCACATTCTCCCTGTGTCAGCGTGGGTTTCCTTCGGGTACTTTGGTTTCCTCCCACATTCCAAAGACGTGCAGGTTAGGTGGATTGGCCATGCCAAATTGCCCATAGTGTTCAGGGATGTGTAGCTTA